TTTGTTCAATCTCCTATTCTTTATGTATGCCCTCTTACTTTGTTCAATTCTGGAGTTGCACTGTAGGTTGGGATGGTCCTTTTTGCAGTTTTGAGATTCACTTAAGGGGGCTGTGATTCAAAATCTATCTGCAGGTCCTGGTATTTGCTGACAGGTGTATGGATAATCTGAAACCCACTTCCCACTGCCTTGGAATCTGTCCATGCAGTGAGGCTGTAGTTTTACTCCCTGGAATAAAATGTGGTTAGAAGAGGGAAGAGAATGGAGCAGACAGTGGGGGGAAGAGGGGGGTGGAGAGATAGAGGAGTAAGGGGGGAAACAAACTCGTGTACCAACAAATGGAGAGAGAGGCCTATACTGAAACAGATAAAAACAATAGACCACAGCTACAGACTAACCAACTCCCATACAAAAAAAAATAAAACATACAATGATGCTAACATACAAGCTAACCAAACACCTTATTGGTATGCCGTTCCTCTGTACAAAGGTATGGTTTACAGAGAAGAGAAAAGAGAAGAAAAGGACGAGAGGGAAAAAAAGGAACAATACAGTAGGAATAGAATTAAGTCATTAAACTTACAGAACCAATCAAGCACACTCTGAGACTTTTCGTTTAAGTCCAATGTCCTTTCAGCTCTGATTTCTAGCTTTCTTTTTAAGCTGGTAAATTAGTTCACAGTTAGGGTGAGTTGCCCCGGCCTGCTGTGAAGGACAGTTCAGATCACCCTCCGTTCACCACTCTGGCCTGTGTCTGTTTTTCAAGCTTGTTTCTCCCATTTCAGTGTTGTTACCTTGAATTGCCAGCAGGTGGTGCTATCTCAGCTGCTCGCCCCAGAGGGGGTTGGGCCGGATAGGAACCGGGCTGAGGCCGGAGGAGATACAGGCCTGCCTCAGGGCACACGGGAGGACCCAGTCGCAGGAGAGGTGGCAGTGATCCCAGCAGATCTTGCCTGCAGGGGCTTCAAGGACTGAAGTGGTGGATCACCTCAGACATGGGTGGCACAATGTGCTATGGCTGCCATGGAGGCCACAGTGGTGCCAGAGGCTGCTGTGTCTGCACTGCAGTGGCTATCCAGACCGCTGTGATGCCCCAGCGGTGGTGACGGCCTAGCTCCGTGTGAAGAGCAGGCTGCCGATGTTGGGGTCTGCAGCCCCCGGGCAGAGAGCAAGAGACCATCTGTGTTCTCCTTTGCAGAGGGTTTCATAGACCCACATCTTAGCTATTATTATCTAATTCTTAATGTACCAGGAGTGTTTGGGCATGCAGTAAAACCTAATTGCTATATTAGAAAAAGTTCATGAGAAAAGTTATATAGTATTTTAAATAAGTATGCTAGGAATATACTTGCTCTCACCTCCTTTCTCTGAACTTGACTTAGAAGAGAGTCAGGGAAATGAGGGCTCTTCGTTTCCAGCCTGGTGAGTATAGAGGCAGATGGTAAAGGAGGTTCAATAGGTCTGGATGAGAGACAGGGAGACCTACACAGGAAGGAGCCCTGGGGGAGCTGTTAGGTTAAAGGATAAGGCTAAAGAATTAGGGATTAGGGAATCAAGAACTTATGGGGTCAAAGATTCACTGGGACCTCTTAGTCAAGGGCCATTTACCTGGTTATCTTCCCTCCCATATGTACCGCTAATATCATTGTGTCTCTGCTCTGTAAACATGCAGCTCTTTAGAAAGTTTTCTGTGTGATTTAAAGTTACCTAACTTTGGAGAACCCAAATGTGGAAAACTCCTTTACCATGTTCCTTCCTCTTGTTTTTCTATTTAGATTCTCCCCGCTTTTGGGGGATGGGGAGGGAGGATGCTAATGAGCTTAAGAAACATGATATTTTAAGTAGTTTCCTAAAATATTATTTTTATTCCTTACATCAAAGTACTCTGAAATTTTGCCCTCGAAGAAGCCTAGTTTTAAAATAATGCCATGTAAAATAGCATATAGTTATGTCTTGAGGTCATAGAATCTATTGTACTATTAATTAAACTATCAGAAATCAATAATGATTTTAAGCCCTAGAACCTAAATTTGAAGAATAGTTTGCTGAATGATAATTGTTATCTTGAATTTTTAAGAAAATCAATCCTTGGGCTTCTTCAAATTATCTTATAAAAATTAATTAATATGAAAACTTCCATTAATTGTACACAATGTGATTTTTATATATTCATTTTATTTATGAAAGCATGAAGATAATGGGAGTAATCATCTGAAACAAAAAAATTGGAACAATTAAAAAAATGTTTTGGAACACTTTTCATAGCAAGAACTTAGAACTTAAAATGTCATATCCATTTTAAAATCCATCTTGAAACATTCTTTTTTTAGCTATGCAATGGAGGATCAGTGACTGATCTTGTGAAAGGATTTCTGAAGAGGGGAGAAAGAATGAGTGAACCTATAATTGCCTACATTTTACATGAAGCACTAATGGTAAGGCAATTTAAATTGTTTGTGCATTAATTATGAGGCACTTCTAGTTAAAGGAAAAATGTGGATCCTATTTTTAGAAAAATATAACTGCATTAGAATTTATTAATGCAAGAGTATATGCAAAATCTGACATGTTTAACATAGATAATTCCTTTTTCCCATTGAAAATCTACTCTCCTTATAGAAACAGAATCCTGAATTCTGACTTCCTGAGTGTATTTTTGAGATTGTGATAGTGATGAAGGTAGAAAACTAATAGTTAGGTTTTTCCTTGCCATTATCTTGAATAATTATATGGAATGTTTTCTTTTATTAAGATTAACATGTTTTCAATAAGATATTTGGTAAAAACTGAGGGGCATGCTCTGGTTTTATGAATTTTCATATAATCCGAATAGAAATGATGCACTTTCATTTGACTAAATAAATGAAAACTTTAAGAGTGTTTGAACATTAATTTTAATGTTTCCTATTGATTTCGCACAAATGTTTCAACTGAAAATTTTTTGTTTGATGCTTTTCTTAAGAGTTATTATGTATTTTCCATCTTCTAGGGACTTCAACACTTACATAACAACAAAACTATCCACCGAGATATAAAAGGAAATAATATTCTGTTGACCACTGAGGGCGGAGTTAAACTAGTAGATTTCGGTAAGTTCTGTTTAAAATGCTTGAGTTGACCTGCACAATAAATTAGTTTGATGTGATTTGATCATTTCCAATAGCTTTTCTTTCTAGGCATTGAAAGTGAAGAAAGATCAGTAATATTACATTGAAGTTAAAAGTACAGAGATAATTTGGTAAATGTGATATTTCTGGAAGAAAGAGTGACTTCAGCTAGTTTGTGCCCATATAACACTAATATAGTAATACGCATCCTCTGAAACAGACAGCATTTCCAATGATTAAGCCAATAATGGTAATCCCATGGCTCCTAATAGGGATTACTTTAAAAATGGGCATATGTCGAAGTCCAAAATTTTGAGATGTAAGGGGAAATCTTCAGGGTCATCTGAGACTATTTTCTGCATCCTAAGAAAGAGACACAAGGGAAAGAGGGTCTTGTTCTTCCTCAGGACCATGTGTGTCTTATTGTGAGATGCCTAAAACTGCTGTAGTTACCTTGTGACTAAGGTGCTCTGTCCTGAGTGGAAAGCCAATTTTGAAAATGGCAGAACTGAGAAAGGGGAGTAATGGGGATATTTGATGTCATAATTAAGCCACTAAGTCAATCAACTTTCAAACCTGCCTTATCTCTGACCTTTTGTTATGTGAGATAATAAACTGCCATATTTACTAAGCCAATTTGGAGTTTCTGTGTTATAGCCAAAGGCACCATAGCTGATATACCTACCCTTCATCTGGGCAGTTCGTTTCCCATTTTGAGGATGCTCTCTTGTTCCTTCTCCTTTGATCCCTGCAAACACAATAATCCTATGAGAGTGGGCAACAGTATTTTATGACTTCTCAGTGTTCTTCAGTCATTATTCCCATTCCCTTTTGCACTCTAGCTGGGTAAAGTATCCTTTCTTGTACTTCTGTAGCCTGTGTATATTTCCACTTTTGCTTTGATCACACAGAATTATATTATCTATAGATTATCTATTAATCTATAGATAATTATATTATCTATAATATTATCTTAGAAATATAGATGGACTGACAAGGTATTCGAGAAATGAGACTTTGTTTTAGTCTATCTTGTAGACCTAAAGCTTTGTTAGTTGAATGAATGCACTTTCTTTCATTTTGCATTTTAGAAACTGAAGCTCAGTGAAGTTAATTGATTTTATTTTAAACGTTGTTTTAATGTCCAGGAATGTAGCTCTCTAGTTATTTTGGCTTAGCTCAGGAATGAATTTCAGAGCTAGAGAAGACTGGATGAGTAGTGTATCCTCACCTAAGCTTTTGAAAACTACTGAGCAGCAGTGAGTTTGACAACTGACAGTAGTGTTGCTCTGTTGAACCCAGAGCCATGTGCTGGAATAATTTAGCTGTGTTGGTATATTGCAAAGGACTTCTGCTTGAAATTAAAAACAACAACAATGAAACACTGTTCACTGTTCCATAGGCAGTTCTATTATTCTCTCTAGAAAATAATTTTGCCTCTACTGTAAGTCAGGCCCAAATAGAGAATTTGATATTTAACTTGAGATCTCATAATTCTCTTTCTCTAAAAATTGGATACAACATATATAGGCTAAAAATTGTTAAAAACAAGTATAAGTAAACATCTTTTTTTAGACATTAAAGGAAAGTTTGGTAAACCAGAAGCTTTGAGAAATGTACATTTTCGAGATATCCTCCAAAATAAGCTAGATTAAAAGCACACACTTAGTAAATAAATAAGGGAGCTTTTAATATGATATCTTTAAAATATAGTCATAAATTGGATAGCTGATAAAATGAGAGCTTTGGTTTTAGATTATTTGATTTATAGGCTAGGTATGGTGGCTCATGCCTGTAATCCCAGTGCTTTGAGAAACCAAGGCGGGAGGATTGTTGGAAGCCAGAAGTTCAAGACCAAACTGAACAACAAAGTGAGACTCAGTCTTTAAAAAAAGTCTTTTTAAAAAAATTAGCCAGGCATGGTGGTGCATACCTGTAGTCCTAGATATTGGAGAGGTTGAGGCAGGAGGACAGCTGGAGACTAGGGGCTAGAGGCTTCAGTGAGCTATGATTTTATCACTGCACTCCAGCCTGAGTCACACAGTTACATATTAAATGCATTTCTAGTGTCTGATACCAAAATGCTACTATTTACATATAAGACATTGTTTCTATTTCTATTCTCCATGGTAGGAAGATATGGATTCAGTTAGCTAAAAATGATTAGTAGGTTTTTGTATGAGTTAAATAGTAAGGGTGATAGTTGCGTGTACATATGGTGAAACTTCTTGAGGGCAGAAGGAACAAGATGGGATAAACCACAAATGGCAGAATTAAATTGAAAATGAATGTCCTCGTTTTATGTTTAAATCATAATCTTAGAGAAAGCTACGACTGGGAATAAAGGATTTTAGAATAAGTTTTATTTGAATTTCTTACATCATAAAATATGCTATTTCTGAAGATCTTAGATGGCTGTCAGCATCTTATATTCAGAATTCCACTCCCTGCTACCAGCTCCATTCCCCCAGATCTACATATCAAGAGTTTCTTGTCTTAGAAATTCACTTGCATCTACTCATTGCTCAAGACACATATTTTAGGCTCATCCTTGAGTCTTCCTTTGCCTTCACCTTTTGTATGCACAACTAGTCACAAAACTTGTTTCTCTCCTAGATATCCCCAGACTCCATCTTAACTGCTCCTGCCTTAGTCCTAGCCCTCATCTCTTACCTCGGTTCCTGCAGTTATACTTTACTAATCTCCCTACATCTAATCTTATTCCCTCCCCTCAGTCCATTCTCCATACTGCAGTCAGTGGGAGGCTTTCAAAAACATATCTGATCCTGCTGCTTCCTCGTTCAGTATTTTATTCAGTGGCTTCCTGTAGTCCCTGGGTGGTGCTTTTCCTTATGATCCTCTGTGCTGGCACAGTGTAAGCACTTAATGATTAATACCCTCTTTATATCCCTTGTGCTCCTCAGGAACCCATCTTCCTATTACCTATTAGCCCTATCAGCTTCTTTCAGTATCCTAAATGTGTCATACTCTGTCCCAGTTGGGGCTCTTACACTGGGAAAAAAGTACTTAGAAATTTATTAATATGCTTTTCTCTTTTGCCTATTCAAGAGCATGATCTTCATCCCAATGTGCCTGAGGCATCTCTCTGGAGGAGGGGGGAGATTAAGATTTATTCTAGAAGGCATACAAGAAAATGACTGAGTTAATACTCAGCTTTTAATATTCAAAAATAGGAATTTGTAGCAAGACCCAAGCTATCTCCTAAGAAAATCTGTCTAAATTGTTTTATCTTCTCTTTAGCACATGGAGGGAGTTTTCAGGGATACACCGTAGCGTTTCACGTAAGAGAGGATAGAAGAGGGGGGAATCCTTTCCAATTCTATGGTAATTATGGAAGAATGAAGCAGAAGGTGAGGCCAGAGAAAGAGATGAGTTTTTAAATAGTAAAGATGATAACAAGGGCAGGAATGTTCTGGAGGGGACCACTCAGTCTGCAGCTGTCCAGCCTGAGGTGAGCCATATCATTGCCACTCTGGAGGTACAGAGTGATCAGGTAGGGGAAGGACTCAAGGTTAGTTATCCCAAGCCCTGTCCTTAGTTTCTAGAAACCCTAAAGTAACAGAGAATCTGACTGGTGAGTTTCTAGAAGTGGTTTCTCAAGGGATAAGGGGATTTGTATAGTAAGACACAGAGCAGATGCCCTGGCCAGGTCTGAACAGAAGCCACAACCAGATCTCAGTGTGTTCTCAGCTCCAGCTGGAGCCAACCTGAGTTTTCATCTCCAGGAGGAACTACAGGAAGTGCTGCCTGCATGAGAACAGATCACAGTTCACTGGAGGCAGATGCTGGCATGGAAGGCCAGTAGGGCACCTAGCAACTAGACACACAAAAGCATATGGCCTCAAAGACTAGATACTTCTCCCTGTTATAAGTTCGTATAAGAAGAAGAAGGGACACCATCTGAGATACTGAACTCTGTCTAAAAGGACTTACAGATTTATTGGATCTGACTGAGCTTTACTTCTCTCCTAGCTGGAGAGCAAGGGCTTAGGGAAAGGTTACAATAGTTACAGGCAAAAATGAAGAAATTGCAATTTTCTGGATATCTAAGAGTAAGTGTTGAATTTTGTGACCATTTACAAATATGATGCTTTCTCCACATAGAAATCTCCCCTCACTCCTATACCCAACTAACTTCTGTTTGCCTGAATGAGTGCCTCCCCAAGACTCAATACTTCATTCATCTGACCAGTTATCAAGCTCTGTTATAGTCATATACTTTATTTCACTGCCTTCTCTGCTAAGCTGTAAGATTCCCTGTCTGGTGTATCACTTTGTCCCTAGAACCAAGTCTGGTGCTCACATTTTGAAAGTGCTTGATAAATACTATTGAATGAATGGATGAGAGGAGAATTTTCCATACAATTGTGTGACTGTGATAAAGTCACTTAAAATCTCTAAGGGCATCAATCTGCTCATCTACAGGTGTGAAAAAGAGGTTTCTACCTTGTAAGGTTGGTTGTTATGAAGAGTAAATGAGATGCCAGAGGTAAACTTCATAGTATAATTACTGACATTTTGTAACTCAGAAAATCTAGCTATTACCTTTATTACAAGATGATATTCTCACTTAGCCTCAGTGCTGTACAAGTAGTAGGTGCTTGATAAATAATTGCTAAATAATAAAAATCTGAGTTCCCAAAACAGGTGCCTTTTTATGTTTCAAAAAAAGAAAACCATCGTCCTTTGCTAGAGTAAATTTAGTATTACTTTAAATTTCAAAAATTACACTAAAAGTAGGATTCGATTTGCTAATACTAGTTATGAGTACAGCCTTTAAGAAAACCTTTTGGTTTTTTGTTAAATGGGATACACTCTTACAGAAAACTACCAGATACCTCAGAGAGCAAAAAGACAAGTAAACTTGTAAACATTATTAATGAAATGCATTAGTGGTCACCAGTATACAATCAATCAATAAATAATATAACCTCCTAGGGGATAAACCCCTTTAGGCAAGG